GCCTCGTTTTCGTGTTTGGTGCGTAGAATGTACGTGCGCGCGTAAAAGGCTAAAATCTTTTCGTATCTAGAGTACTGAATAAAACCTCTGTGCTAGATATTGCTTCTGATGACTGTATAATGTAAAGAAATTAATTTTTTTGAATATACGCCAATTAACGGTATTTTAGATCAATCGAAAGTGCTCCAAAATGGCTGAAAATCCGGATTTTGCAACTGTTTTGGTCACGTGACAAGTCACGTGACGTCATTACGCCAGAAATGGACACTAAATGAAACACACGTTGTTATATCTATATTCTGGAATAATTTCAAATCATTTGACTACCCCAGTGCATAGATATCTAGTCAAATATTGTGTTGCCTCACTTCCATGTTGATCTTTACATAGTGAGAAACGACCCCCCTGAAAGGGGGATGGCACCACTTTTCGAGACCACATAGTACCTGTAGTTATAGAATGGAAATTGATCTTTACGAATCAGGCATCAAACCTTTTCTGTCCAGTGGGTTGTGCTAAGCGCACATTTCTGGGTCCTAGCTCCTGGACTATTGAGAACAACTTTCGTTTACATTTTGTTTACACTGATGCCAAAGGATTATAGACACAAACGTGTTTAGAATAGGTGTGATATCGTGTTTTGAACATTACAAAGTGCTGGAGTTTTGCTAGGATCGGTTTATATTTATTCGTGTTTCAAAATTATTCTTGTTGATGTTTTATTGAGAACAAGTTTTGAAACTTGCTTAGTTTTTGATTGTTTTGCATTCATTTTTACTTAAACTTTCGTTTTCATTTTTGTTTATACTGACGCCAAACGATTATAGATACAAACATGTTTTGAATAGGTGTGATATCGCACCTATTTTCCAAATACAGTCCATTTTGTTTAAATTTATTGCCAAACATATAGTTACTCACTTAAGCATTTGACTTGCGAGAGTAAACATGTCGAAACCTGCAGCGAAACGTCAAAGAATAGAATTATCCTTAGAAAAGCGAATTAGCTTGATCAACGCATCTGAAAGATTCCCTAAACCTACTTTAAAGTCTCTCAGTGAAGAATTTGGCATCGGAAAGTCAACTGWAAGCGATATTCTAAAGAAGAAGGAAATCTACAAAGAACAGTACGAGAAAAACAGCGACGACAAAAAGAAACGATGCAATAACAATTGCAAGTACGAACGTCTGAATGAACTCACTTGGCAGTGGTTCCAGYGAGCCCGGTCAAAGAACATTCCAATCTCTGGTCCGATCATTCAAGAAAAAGCTTGTCAATTTGCAAAGGAACTATGCATTGCCGACTTTAAGGGATCAAATGGATGGCTAGATCGGTGGAAATCCTGTTATTCTATCAAAGCATTTCAGATCTGCGGAGAGAGTGCCGAAGTTAACACTGAAACAGTTGATGACTACAAGMAGAGGATTCCAGGAATTGTTCAAGGATATCTACCAGAAAACGTGTTTAATTGTGASGAGACCGGGTTGTACTTCAGAGCCCTGCCAAACAAAACTTTATCTGCCAAAGGTGAAAACACTAAAGGTATCAAAGAATCCAAGCAAAGAGTTACGATAATATTTGCTTGCAGTGCCACCGGAGAGAAACTTAAACCACTGGTGATCGGT